ACAAGCTTCACCTAACAAATTACCAAAAAGATTGTGAAACAAATATGAATATATGCAACTGATTAAAAAGACTAATTATATAGAAGTTGTGTTATTTTTCTTTACAATTAGCCAGCTGCTTCATTTCAACATCTATACACATGCAATTCTTTCTTCAACTAGTTTTCAGTAGGGGATATCTATGACATAGACGCACCTAGTGGGTTTATGTACAGTAATTCCTGGCTTAGCTTACTCCATTACATACTACTTCCATCATCCTTTCAGCAGATGATTCAATTATCACAATGAATGGCCATCTATTGATATCGTATGTTTTAGAATTCACAGTGACTATCACTGATAAATATCCTTAACTCAGTTTTATATTTAGAAATACACTGACTTGAAAAAGACCTGAATTGCATACATTCATCCACATTAAAATACAGAAATTATAACTTACTACAAAAACAAATATTCAGTAGCAGTCCTTTTTTTAAAATCATGAATAAGATGAGCATTCAAAACATGTAAATTGAGGTTTGATAGATTTTAAGTAAATTACTCCAGTGTACTGATGATCAAAAAGTAAAGCCTGTACTAGATTAAAACAAATGAAACAGTAAGTATAAGCATGCTAAAATAACCAAAGCCTTTAAAATCAGGAGTTACTTTTTAAATAATACAGATTCCCATGCCTCCTTCACTCCATTCCCATTCTAAATCAGTGCGTGTGTATTGGAACTGGGTGGCAAAGAATATTTTACTTTTCTAAACAGATCTTCTAGAGACATAGATACAACTACCCTATAGATCAGCACTTGGGAAATACTTCAGGTGATGCAAATAAATGGAGAATTGAAAATGCCCCTAGATGATCTCTAAAGAAGTGCTAACTAGCTGGGCTAGTTAAGCAACTGTCTTATATTGTATAAGTAACAGCAAAAGCTAAACAATGCAACTTGCCTCTCAAAAACCAGTGAACCAACCAGTTAATTGGTGGCTAGAAAATTTTATGGTTTCCAAGCAGATTAACCCCCTAAGAAGACCAAATTCTGTTGAGAGTTTGTGCTAATTTAGGCACTTAAGGTTGTTAGTCTCTAAAAGGAGCACAAGCAAGCATTTGAGAGTATACTTTAAAAAGAAGACCAACTTCTTATTTAAAATAGTGAAAATATAAATTTCTCATCATGGAAAATACAGCTACCTAAAACTTGCTACCAGACAGTTCAAATCAACTGAAAATGAAGAAAGAAAAGGGGGTGGGGAGGAAGAAAGGGAGAGAGGAGACATACAGACAGGCTTGGAAGTAAAACAAATGTGGCAATACCTTCAAAAGACCCATTAAGTTAGACAAGTGAGATGATTACATTGCATGTGTAAATCACCATATTAAAGAATGTGACATTGACAGGAGTGAAATAGTTCAAAAGAAGTCAGAGGACCCAAAACAGCTCAACCACTGTGGAACTCTGACCTGGGTGCATCCCAGACCAACTGAATAATTTCTAGTAGTGGGATTCAGTCATCAGTATTTTGTAAAGCTCCCCAAGAGATCTCAAAGTGCAGCCAAGATTGAAAACCACTGCACTAAACCTTGGGAGTAAAAAAGTAATAAAAAGATGAACCCAACACATTTATAAGTTTTCCAAACTGCAAAAAACTCTCATTCCAAGTGTAAATAATGAAATATAGTCCCTGAGCTGAAAAGTATTTACAAACAGAACCTCTTTACAATCAGTCTCTGGTAGTTGTCTATCTAACCTATCATGTAATTTGCAGCAGCAAGTTATCCAGACAAATCAGAAATTATAAGAACCTTATAAATTATTAATATAAGAATCTGGGCCTGGCGCACGCCTGTAATCCTAGCACTTTGGGAGGCCGAGGCGGGCAGATTGAGCTCAGGAGTTCGAGCCCAGCCTGAGCAAGAGCGAGACCCCGTCTCTACTAAAAAAAAAAAAAATAGAAAGAAATTATCTGGATATCTAAAAATATACAGAAAAAATTACCCGGGCATGGTGGCTCATGCCTGTAGTCCCAGCTACTTGGGAGGCTGAGGCAGTAGGGTCACTTGAGTCCAGGAGTTTGAGGTTGCTGTGAGCTAGGCTAACGCCACGGCACTCACTCTAGCCAGGGCAAGAGTGAGACTCTGTCTTAAAAAAAAAAAAAAGAATCTACCGTCCTTAGTTCTACGTATGTAAGCACTACTCTACTTTTCATTCATTCTTGTGGTTAAAACAAATTTTCCTGGATGCCAGTTACAGCATGTAACAGTGGCAAGGTGACACAACCTAAAATACCTTGTTCCTGAGAAACTGGAATTCAGCCAAATTGCCCATCACCAAAATTACACATTTTAGAATGAGAAAAAAAATTCAAAAATTCTAAATCTGACTCATTATCAAATGTTTGGTATGATGCAAACATATCATACTGAAAGTAGCTCAAATGTATGATATCTAGACATATTTGTCAGCTGTTTGAATTTCTCATTTTAAAACAATTCAGTGTTAATCAACTACTGAGCAAAAGTTCAAAATTTGATAATTTAACAAAACTGTATTAGATGCTATATTATGCTGGTCTAATTCCTTTAACTTTCATTTAATGTGGACAGAAAACAATGAAATCAATAAAACTGTCAGTTTTATACAAGATTAAGGGTCACCTCAGTTATCACTCATCATCCCTTTAAGCAAAACAAAAAAAATTCTTCTAACTACACAATCTAGGGAAAAAAAAGGAAATCCAAACATGTACAATGAGCACTGAAATGGCCAATGTACTATAAGATGCTTAAAGAACCAATCACTCTAAAAATCACTGAATGAAAAAAAAAAGTTAGGCATGAGCTAGAGGGGGACAGAACAAAGTGTAAACATCAGAAAAATAACACATGCTTTCACCAAAATATGCAAAAATTTATACAAGATTAAATATGCATTTTAAATGTAATGAATCCAGGAGATTCTGTAGGGTTAACTGCCCTAGTAGAGGCCTCAGCAACTCACAGCTTAGTGTCTAACGATGTTACTATAACACTGGCTCAATAAAAAAAAAAAAAAATAGCTTCCAAGTGGGAAAGCGGGAGTGTAACTGGGCTGTATAAGCAGAATTGCTTCTAGCAGCAAAGCCATCAGAAAAAGCCAATGATCTACTTAAAACTTATTTCAAAATATTTCAAAGAGACTTCACATAAATTTTCATTAAGTCAGATTGGCAGTTTGTTTTTGTTTTTCCTAAGCCTAAGATTTACACTGAAGGCATTTAGCTAAACAAAGTAGGCATTCTCACCTGAAAAATTTTTTAAATCAAGATGCAATACCTCTTTAAAGCAAACTCACCCAAAAACCTGGAAAGCAAAGAAAAAGCCATTTCTATCAATAAATTCACAAAATGTTTTATCAATTTTCTCTACACAGGCTTTGAGTTTTAATTCCAGTAACTTAAACCTATATAATTCATCACCACCTTTAGACCTAGAACTACTCCAAATCATAAATGCTTGGCCTACCTCTATTACATTTGTTCTGTAACAAACCCATTTAAGAAAATAAAATCATGACAGCTTTATGAAAGAAACATTAATGAGAAGTCGTATTTTTAAATGTTAGTCATTTACAATTTGGAATATCGTGTACTAATCATACCAGACCTTTCCAATAGAGAGTAAGTCCTTAGTAGAAAAAAAAAAAGTTACACTTTAGAACTTCCTATATTTCAACTGAAATATATAGTCTCCGTAGGGTATGGCAAAGGTAATTTATGAAATCTACAATAAAAATTATTCAAATACAATGTCCTAAATCTAATTACTTTATGAAATTATTCATTTCTGTATTTTCTATTAAGACTCTAAATGGTTTCTGCCAGCAAAAAGTACTGAACCTACTTCTTAAACACCTGAATAATCACGCAGCTACCCCGAGGATGCTAGTTCTGGCAAAAGGCAAAGGTAGTTAACAAAAATTAGCCAAGACCCTATGCCTACAGAAAGTCAATTCAGGGTGCTTAAAACGATTCCCTTATTACCTTGTTATATTTATTATTCCTAAATAACTGGCAATTCCACCTTAAACTATGGTGCAAAAACTGAAGACGTTACGAAGTTAATTTCAAAATAATTTTAAAAAAATAACAAGTTTACCACAGTTTTCAGAGGAAAAGAGCTATCAATCTTCAGTAAAGCTTTTTAAAGCCTCTCTGTATCAGCAAAGAAACCTTTCATGTTAACTAAACACACCCATGTCTTTGAAAATCTACCTTGAGAAATCGTAACAGCAGTTTGGGGCATATGTTGGAGCCACCGCCCTCCACCTTACACCAATTTTATGCTCAATACATTTAGTCCTAACAATAAGACAAACCAAGCCTTTTATTAGGAGACACGATTTATTAAGGGTGGGGGGAGGTTCAGTTAGGTACTAAGAATGTTTCCTGCATACAGTCATCACCCACAATACTCAAAAAGTAAACAAATCAAAGCTACAAACGTAAACTGGAATGACACAACCAAGAAGAGAAAGTAAGGGACGAAAAGAAAACAAAAATTTACTTGAGTAAAGAAATTAAGACAAACCATTTACAACTTTCATTTAGACCCCAAGACAACACACTCCAGCCGACCCAACGCGCTCTGCCGGGGCGACAGAGAAACTACTCAAGAACAACAAAGAGGAGCGGCGGCCGCGGCAGGAGTCGCTATCCGAGTTTAACTTGGTTCTCCGACAAACTGCGAGCGGAGTTCGGGGCCAGAGGATCGACCCCGCAGCCCGAGGGACGCGAGGCACCGCCGCCTGGCACTCGCCCGCCCCGGCCAGCCCAGCGCAGGGGCCGTCGGTCGGCCCCGGCCAGGGTCGTCAGGCGGCCGCGCTCGCCCTCCAAGCGGACCTGCCGGCCTCCCGCGCGCTCCCCGCCGCCGCTGCCGCCGCCGGGAGCCCGCCCCGGGGCGGGGAAGCCACGGGCGGGGCGCGCGGCCCCGGCCGGGGGAAGGGGAGGGGACATGGCGCGGTTACCTGGGCTCGGGCGATGGCGAGGGGAGCCCGCTCTCCCGCCGCTGCTCGTCCACGGACGCGCAGGGCCGGTCGCTTCACCCGGGGGCCCGGAGCGCTCCTCGGCCCCCGCCCGGAGGCGTCCGGGCCAGGCAGCCCCTCCTCGGCGCCGCGCCGCTGCCCGCGCGGGCCGGACCGCCTCGAGCTCCCGGGCCGCCCCGCGGCAGGGGGTCTCTCTCGCGGGGCGCCCGGCTCGCCTGACCCGCTCCTACCCCCTGGGCGGCCGCAGAGCCGAGGGGAGGACGGCAAAGGCCTCCCGAGGAGAGCGGGCGGGCGCGAACGCGGGCTCCGCCACCCGAGCCGCTCCGTTACCGCAGCGGCGACGACGACCAGGGCCGTGTTGTTGCTGCCAACTTGTCGAGAGAGCACTGAGCATGCGCGCGCGCAGACCACATCCGGGTAATTTCAGGGTTTGGCCCTTTTCCCCCCGCAGCTTTCCTTTCTCCTGGCTACCCCCGCCTCCCGCCCGGAGTGACGGGGGTGTCGCTCTGCGCAGGCGCCCGTAGGGCAGCGCCGTCGGCGGGCGGCGCCGACTCCGGGTCTGGGCCTTGGCGGGGGCCGCTTCTCCGCTGTGGTGAGGGGAGCCTGCTTGAGGGGGTGGTAGAGAAATTGGCATTGTTTGGCACAAAAGTCCCCAAGTACGCAGGAGAGCACAGCGTAGAGTGGGCGTCCAGTAAGTGTTTATAAATAACGATCAGGGCCTTTTGTTGGTTTTTTTGTTTGCTTTGAGGATCTGTGTGGGCACAAAAATTAGACTTTTACAGCCAGGCGCTAACTCCGGGGATAAAGGTGATTGTAGCGGCTTATTTGGAGAAGACACTGGCGATGGCTGCACCTTCCTTCCCTTTTCCCTTTCCTCCAGCCCTGCATCACGAGTTCCAAAGGTGTTTAAACTCGAGAGACGCACAGGACAGTCCAGGAATCACACATTTAAGAGTCTTGCCAGGTGTTACGAAATGTGAGTGGTTCTTGTTGGAAGAGATGTAGGCGGAGTCTCAGGGTTGGAAGGGACCTTTGAGTCCTAGGCCACACCTATTAACTAGGCTACCTGCTGGGCGGGGAAAGGCCCTACTTTTGACTTTATACTTCTTTTATGTGATATTTTTTACAAGACGCAGCAATTTCTTCTGTAATTTAAAAGGTTTCAGAAAACACACTAATTACATGTTTTTTTCACCAACTAGGAAACACTTCCTTTGGGAGTCCCTCCAAAACTAATTATTAGATAGCCCTAAAGTCATTTCTTAGGTCGTGTTGCCCAGAAACTCTCTACACCCACCCACCCCCTGCCATCCACACTCAGTGCTCCATTCTGCCCTCAGTCATCACAGCCTGGGCTCTTCCCTTTCCTACCAGAAAGCCCTGAAAACTTCAAATTGGTTTTCTCTTATCTCTGGGGTTTATGAAGACTTTCCAAGACCAGTTTTAAGGGAATTCATTTCCAGATCTTCCACTGCCATATGTACTGTTCTTTAAAATTGCTCAGTTTGAGAAGGGAGCTGAGCACACAGCATCCCCTTTTAAAACTGTCCTTATCCTACCTTGCAAAAGAAAGTAAAAATTCGTGTCCATTACTAAGGTGCATTGACCCAAGATGTAAAAATCTCCAGGACAATTCAATTTTTTCACCAATGAAAAAATTGGTGAAATACTTTCTCTATGCTGAGAAAGTAAATGACCTTAGTGAATGGGTTAAATTCTTTTCATAAGTCAAGTAGTTTCCAATTCTTTGCTGTCAACAAAATTGAAGGAAGATCTGTCAGCTGACAGATTATTAAAAATGATTTGGTAACAGACTAATATGTTATTCTTAGGTAATATACCTCAGAAGGAGTTTTAAAAATTGAGTAACATTGCTACAACTAAACTTCTTCCATCCCATCTGTATTATGTATTGCTGCATAACAATGTTACATAAATTGAGAAGCTTAAAACAACATGCATTTATTGTCTTAAGTTTCTATGAGTCAAGAGTCCAGAAATGATTTAGCTGGGTCCTCTGCAAAGTGAGGCTGGGAAAAAGGATCAGCTTCAAGCTCATGTGGTTGCTGGCAGCATTCATTTCCTTGCAGGTTCGGCCCTTTGCTGGCTGTCAGCTGAGACCCCCTCTGTTCCTTGCCATGTGCCCTCCCCATAGGGAAGCTCACAATATGGCAACTTGCTTCTTCAAAGCCAGCAATCCGGAGAGTCTCAACAAGACACTGGTTACAATCTTATGTAACATAATCACACACAGTAAATCACACACAACCTGTCACCTTTGCCATACTCTATTGGCCAGCAGCAAATCACAGGTCCCACCTACACTCAAGGGGTGGGGATCGAATGGGATCTACATTAGAGTTTGTCTACCACACCATCTAATCGTTTATGCAAATGACATTCCCTATTGGCTGAATTTCCCTTCAGGTTACCTTCACTTTTTCACTTAAGGGAAACTTGACTTTCCCCTGGGACGCTGCTTCTCCTCCCCTCTCTAGTCGTGGCAACTGTGTTTTCAATCATAAGCCTCTTAGTCTGTGCCTGGAGGTGAGGAGCTTTGCTCCTTGCTCCTTGCTTCCAGACCCTTGCCCTCCTCCTCCCTATAAACCAGCAGCTTTGAGTCTTGTTATCTAGTACTCCGTTGTTGCCCTCATTCCCCTTCATTTCTGCACAATTTAGTCTGTCATTCAGGCCAATGCCACTTCTGTCTTAATCTTTGGTAGTTATAAAGTATTCCCAATGCCCTGGCCTCTCAATTCCTGAGTTCTCCTCCTCCAAGGATCTTGCCCTCTATCCTAACTCAGCCACTGACTCCCATGGTCATAATCACGGGAGCCTCATCAAACTCTGCAACTTCTTCATAATCACAATTTCAAATATCTCACGCTCCGATCACCACCTGATTTTTCCAAGTCATTCCGTGTAGTACTCTAACTCCAAGAATCCTTTAAACCTCATAGCCGCTCACTCCCTTCCTTACCCAGCTTCTACCCCTGGCCAATCATTATAATCACTCTTGCACAGACCCTCAACCCCCTGGCCTCCCTCCCTCTTTGTTGTGCCTGCTTGGCAAAACCACAATCCTGATTCCAGCCAGCTCTCCACCTATACTTCAGCACCCCGTGCAGCTGAATATGACTGGAGAAAAACACAATCACATGGACTAGTTTCACTTTAATTTCATCACCGTGAATCTCAGGTGGACCCCTAGTGCTACCCAGCAATCCAACTTCCTGCCTCCATTCTTCTAGATTTCATACCTTCTCTGTCCTCTAACCCTGCGGTCCCGACCCACACAGGTTTTCAACCTGTTAGGTATGGGGCCGCAGAGCTCCACCGCCCACCCAACACACACCCTATCTGTGGAAAAATTTTCTTCCTTGAAACTCAGGAACCAAGTGGGGGGTGGGGCGCCCATACAGCAGGAGGTGAGCGGTTGCAGAGGCAGCGAAGCTTTATCTGTGTTTACAACTGCTCCTCATGGCTCACGTCACCACCTGAGCTCTGCCTCCCATGCTACACCCTCAGTCCGTGAAAAAATTGTCTTCCATGAAACTGGTCCCTGGTGCCAAAAAGGTTGGGTACCACTGCTCTAACTTACACATCCTCCCCTCAATCCTCATTCTCAATTAAGAACCTTGCTTCCTATATCATTGAGAAAATTGAAGCAATGGGACAAAAACTTCCACAGAATCCCACCACTCCCCATACCCACATACCAGCCTCTTCTCTGCCTTCCCCTCCATTACGTAATTGAATTTCCATGCTCCTAGCTAAAGCCAGTCCCTCCACTAAGACAATAAACCAGGTGTGGTGACACATGCCTGTAGTCCCAGTTCCTCAGGAGGCTGAGGTGGGAGATCGCTTGAGCCCAGGAGTTCGAGATTGCAGTGAACTATGATCACACCACTGTACTCCAGCCTGGGCAACAGAGCAAGTCCTCGTCTCTAAAAAATAAAAAATTAAAAAAAAAACCAATAAATTCCAATACCATCTTGCCTAATCAAGATCATCACCATCACTCCAGCAATTATCCTTCCTCTTCTGTATTATCGATATTTCCCTCTCTATTGGGTCATTCCCATAAGCAGCCATTATTTCTCCAATCCTACCAGATCTTTGACCCATTTCTCTGCTCCTTTTGAAATAAAACTTCTAAAAGAGTTTTCTGTACTTTTGTCTCTAGTTCCCCTCCCATTCTGCAGCAGCAGAATATATACCGTATGATTACAATTTATATAAAGTTCAAAAACATGTCCAACATTTTATGTATGTTAAGACTACATATGTATGTAGTAGAAACATAACAACACACACAAGGCTACCTATGTGGCATAATTTAGGTCATCAGCTGAGTGGTAGGTCTCCCATCCTCTCTTGAGCTCATACCATTCATGCTTGCATCCTCACCACTCCATGAAAGCTACTGTCAAGCCCAACAATGAACTTCACGTTGGTTAAACCCAATAGTCTAGTCTGAAGTCTCATCTTGATTGAGTTGTCTGTAACAGCTGAAACAATCACTTGATTCACTTTTTTTTTTTAACACCGCACCCTCTTGGTTTTCCTCCTTCATCCCTGGTCCCTTCTTCCCTGTCTTCTTTGCTGGCTCCATCTCTTCTCTCAGATCCCTTAACCTTGCCGTGAGTAACCCAGGGCTCATTCCTTGGACTTCTCTTTGTTATCTATACTCATCTCCTTGGTGATCTCATCCAGGCTCCTGACTTCTGATACCATCATATATGATGACAACACCCAAATTTATATCTCCAGCTCGGACCTCTTACCTGAACTCTAGATTCTGATATCTAGCAGTCTACTGCATGTCTCGAAAACTTAACATGTCATGAATTGAATGATATTCTCCCTCAAATCTGTTCAACCCACCAGCTTTCCTATCTCAGCTGATAACTCCATCCTTCAAGTTGCTCAGACCAAAAACCCTAGAGTCATGCTGGACTCCCCTCTTTCTCTCAACTCCTTGTCTAGTCCAGAGTCAGCTTCCCTAACCACCTCCACTGCTACCCCCTGGCCTGAGCCACCATCATCTCGCGCTTAGATTAGTCTTCTAAAAGCTCTCCCTGTTCTCATGCTTGCCCCTCTCAACATAATAGCTAGAGTGTGCCTCATAAAACCTATGTCAGATGTCAGTCTTCTGTTTAAATCCCTCCATCAAACGCTCATTTCATTTAGAGTAAAAGTCTACATGCTTACAGTAGTCTAAAGGGTTCTGCAAGATCGACACCACCACCCACCTGATCATTACCTCTCTAATCTCATCTCCTATCATCCTCCTCCTGGATGACTCTGCTCTCACCTTCCTGACCTCCTTTGTTGACCCCAGAAGATGCCAGCCATGTGCCCAAGTTAGGGCCTGTGCACTGGCTGTGCCCTCTACCTTGTACACATCT